CAACGCCTGATACATGAACTGCTTTCTCAACCAATCAGATGCAACACTATAACTTATTGTAACTCTCCTTAACCCGCGCTTCAGGCTGTCATCTTTTTTTTGTTTCTTTAAGTTATCATTGGCTTCCTGTGGTATTTTCCAGCACTCTGATCGGCTGTTCTGATTGCTTGAGGTTTTTTAACGACGCTCGGTAGATATGTGCTTTAAAATACAAACAAACCTGTAAATCGGTATGGTTCTCTTTACTCAACCCATCAAACGTTTCCTCTGCTAAAGAATTAAGTCTCATCTGCGAGAATAATAAAGATACGCCGTCAATATCTCGCTCTCTTCCTAAACACCGTTTCATCTTAATAAAGGTCGCGGGTTGCAGACAAAATTTATCCACAAGCACAATCTTTCGACCCTCCTCGTTTCGTTTTTGTTTGAAAAGTCTCCTAATTTCTTTATTCATGCATTAGTCAATATTTGTTTAAACATTTTTTTCGGCCATCTATTTTTTTTAATCACACATACCTCGGACATCACCTGGTCCACTCTTTCCAACTTGACCGCAGTTTTCGTTTTTCTGGACATTCTCATCAAAGCGGTTAGAATTAAATACTGTCTAAGCGTTACCTCTCCATAATAAGGCATCTTAAATTGATTGAGAAAAATATAACTATTTCGAGCTTCCTTTTGTGTGCTACCTTGCATATTGAGATGTTTCTGTAAAAATGAAGGAATGGCGATTAGTGACTTTTGACGGGATGTTACCAATACCAGCTACGGAGAGCCAGAGTCTGGGACCAAGAGTACAGCGGTAATCCGCGAAAAAATTACAAATGGCGGATGAAGACATGGAAAAAGGGTCTGAGCACCAGTTTTGGCGCAAGTTCTCTTAGAACTTAGTCGTCAGAGCAATTGTCATGGACGATAACTAAAGATTGTGTTAAGGGTATCTGACTTGAACTCTTATTTCAAAAATTTAGTTTTAAATAAATTGCAGGTGTGATAGATTTCGAGCCTTCGAAGAGGCGAGTGTCAGAAAACCTGACTAATCGAAGGTAAGGATGCTAAGATAGAAAAAAGCTCAAAGGAAACTGATTATTTTGGCTTCTTTTTCGGTTAGCAACGAAGCAGCGAAAATCTAATTGTTGTCCGCGGACTTAACCGATACTTGCTGACTTTTATCATGAAATTTTTGTCGAATTATCTTCGAAACGCGATAATACTCCTGGTATTTTAAGAAGAAAGTTGTGTTTTACCTGCTTACATCCACACTTTAATTTTCCACTCAAAAGACTCAGTAGTTTTGTTTTACCAGCTCCATGCTTTCCCACTATTGCAATAAATTCACCTTGTTTGAAGCTCAATGTGGCGTTCTTGATCCTCAACATACAGGAATCTTTCTTTCCGTCTGTCCTTCTTTCTGGATCATTCCTGATAGTTGAACGAGAAAAACCGCTATTTTCTTTATTTTCCGAGCATTTAACGTCTTTGCAAATCGCATTGCTTTTAAACTGTTCGTTCCCATGATTTTGGAGAAATAATAAACGTAGATATTGCGCTGTTCGGTAAAATATTGTATTATTAGAGAACGTATCCTCCTCCTTCATTGATCGTTCTTTGAAATCTTCTGGTTCCAGATTTTCGAAACTTGGGGAATGATTAGAAACTTGTGAGGACGAGTACAGTAAAAGTGTTATTGCCTCGCCATAACCGGACACCTTAAACAAATGAAAAAGATAAAAATAGTCAAAATGCTTAATCCCAATAAAAATGACGACAAATATCATATAGTATGATAATTTGATTTTATCAACTGAGTTGATGATGTAAACTGGCCACCGTAAAGAGTTCCAAAGCTGATGTTTCGAGCCTTAGTCCTTCGTCAGAGCCATTCTCTCTGACCAAGGGCTATGGCTCAAAATGTATGGCATGTATGGGTACAAGTCACCTATAAACGGAAACATCCGAAATCAGGCGGATCTGTCCGAAAACGAAACCACCCGATACGGGGCGGACGTGTCCGCAATCGGACAGAACAGGCCAAAATCGAATGAAACCGCCCTTATTCGGACACACGTGTCTGAAATCAAACAGAGCCGTCCGAAAATGTTTGAAATCGGGTGCAACCGGACCAATATAGGATAAAACTGTCCGAAATCTGACGAAAGCGTCTGATTTCAAACGAATGCGTTTGAAAGCGGACGACACAGAGCGATTCTGACGGAATTGTACAAAAGTGGAAGTTAGCATAATACCATTTTGAGCTATTTAGCGCTCTCAAGCAAATCATCAAGAAAAAGCCGAGTTGCATCCGCATCGCTCGACCAGAATATTCTATTCTCGTCAATGGGAGTAGATCCCTACTTGCAACATAAACTTATGACTAGTACAATTTTACCTGCTGCGACTCCTTATGGTCTCCAAGATATCGCTTTTTATTTCGTGCCAAGAGAAGTAACTGGACCATAAAACAGATCTTAACCGCTACACAAACACCAGTGGGTACCAGGGACAAGAATAGAATAACCCAATTGAGCACCTCTCCCCAGTCCACAGCGGTGTCCACAAATTTAAGTGACTCCGAGCACGTGGGATTGCACATTGGTCCAAGACAGGTGTCAGTCACTCTCACGGATTGATGACGTTTCTCAAACCATTTTTGAAGAGTGGACTGCAAACTAATGATTTCGTTTCCACGTCCTATTGTTGTACGCAACCAACTTCCGGGTACTTTGGACAAGCTGGAGAAATTTTTCAGGAAGTAGTAAATTATTGTAATCAAAAAATTAATTCTCCCAACTATTTCAACGAAAAAAAGGAACGAACTAACGAGTGAACGAACGCACGAACAAACGAATGAACGAACGAACGAATAAACTACCGAACGAAGGAGCGAACGCACGAACAAACGAACCAACGAACGAACGCGCAGACAAACGAATGAAGGAACGAATGAAGGAACGAATGAATGAGTTGACGAGCGAATGAACTAACGAACGAACGAACGAACAAACGAAAAGGCGAACGAATAAACGAACGAACGAACAAGGAACGAAAGCATGAAGTAACAAAAGAAAAAACAAATAACGAAGACATGAACAAAAAAATGATCAACCAACGAAGGAACGAGGGAACAACAAAAACCGATTAAACAGAGACACAAACGAAAGCACGAAGTATAGTGATTGCACGACCAAAAGAAATAGAAAAAAAAAAAAAAAAAACGTAATGAACGAGAGAATGAAAGAATTCTGACAACTCACCGGAAAAAAGCATTTCCCTGGTTGAACACTCTACTGTAGTGAAGCATTTCTCCTTCATCTCTTAAACTTGACATGCCAAAGAAAGTGTGCTGAAAACACGCGGGCACAAAGTAACTAAGGTTTGAAGATCTGGGTTCAATTGCAAACAAAGATTGGTTCATGGCACCCCCATATGACTCGATCAGAGTTAACAGATCTGTCACACCGTTATCTGCGACGGAAACTCTTTTCGACAAACGGGCGAGAATGTCTCCAATGATATAAATATCATACATGCTGAACACAAATAGCGTTGGCACGTTTGATGGGTAGTATCCCCGTTTAAGCATACATGATGCTGACAAACAGCACGGATACCCATGAGTAGTATCTGCACATGCGCTTGATAACGGCTTACCGGTGATGTAGAATTCCTTAGCAACCTTTGATGTGATGCTCTCTCGGAAATTCAAAAACCATCCACCGTCTATGATCACTGAAATGCTAACATGTAAATTCCTGGATGACATAAGGTCTTGTAACCATTGTACGTGGTTGATCGCACCCACCCCTCCCGCGCTGCTCCCAACTAAAACAACCTCACGCGCTCGGCTCAAACCTTGGTCGAGCAGCTCATAAATAGCGCTTTGAAAAATGATTTTACCGCTGAAAACAAACTGTTCCACACTGTTTGATGCTCTGTTTTGTGTTCCCAGCCATGCATCGCTGCTGCAATACGGTATCAAAACACGTGAATAATTGTAGAATAACTTATTCTCGTTTCGAGTTGTTGAGAGCAAGTCCTTCCCACTGATTGTGCTTGGCATGTACTTGGATGTCATTAGAGCGTTCGTTAACTCGCTCCCAAATCGTGCATGACATTGAGCCTTTGTGAGACAATACGCTCCGCTCTCCAAAAATATAATCCACTGTGATGGCTCCTGAACATCCATGTAATAAATTGCTGTTGTTCCGTCGTTACACAAAGCATCTTTGTTGCTAAGGGTCTTCTTGTACATCGTGTTAGAACGAATATTTCCACTGGCAATCATTGTAGAAGATAGGATGCTGGTCGCTAAAAGGACTCTTAAGAACATCTCTATGGACGGAAAATCAGTTTCTATCCCCTTAAACTTTTGAAAAAATTTTCTTAGAACAGCGTAAATTATGTTAACTTGTTGTTAAAGTTGCCTGTGCGCAAGGTACCAATATCGACACAATTTTCACTCAATCCAATTTTCTCCATCATGAAAATCCATTAAATAATTTGTTAACTGTCACTAAATCACTCATTGCAATAACGAGCACAGTGTTTAGGTTTCACTTCTGCCCTTGTTTAAGTATTTATGTCGCAAAACATTCTTATGGATCAGTGTTCCTAATTTCGAGTCTTCTTACTAACGCGTCTTTACAGGTGCCTAAATTATGTTCCATTCGGAAAATTTGCAACTTTACAGTTTTAGGTAAGATTGGTCACAGAAAAGGAATGGGTTATGGTTTGTCGGTAAAAGAAAACGTCATTCGGTACCCGGCCTTATTCAAGGTCAATGTCAGTATCTTGTAATCAACTGCGCACCTAACCCTCCCATAAAAAAATATTAACCCTAACTTGTTATCAGTTGAATGTAGTTGGGTTGGGGGAGGGGTAAGCGTGCAGGTGC